TCTAGATGAATGTTTAATTAAAAAATTAAAGCCATTCTACAGCACATCCAGACTGCATATACTATACATCATATGCTCATGGAGGGAACTTTTTCACTGTTTTAATAATTCTGGTAATACTGAAGTAAGTTCCAATATATCATCCATTCTGTCAAAGCTTTCAGTACTCATTCCGTTCAAGGGCAAATTATTAACTACTATGTCCCCATACCTGGAAGTGCTTACTAGCTAACATTCACAATGAGTACTAAGAAGAGAAGAAAACACAAAGAAACAAAGATGTTCAGACATGGAAGGCCTTAAACTTTAAACCTTAAAGTTTTATAAAGTACTTTTCGTGCCTTTACAGTCACCCTCAAAAGTCTGGTCTATTAGAAGCAGACTGCGGAGGACATAGACAGGAAGGTTTTTTTTAAAGTCAATCTGTAATCAAAATAACTACATTTAGGAGTTCTGGGGGAAAAAAAAAATCTCACTATTACATCACAAGCAGTGTTTTGTGAAAACAGTTATTAAAAAATAAGCTTTGCTAGACAAATCCAATTCTGATGTATATTATAGAGTCCTCTAAATACACAGCTTTACTAAACTAGTTTAGTTAAGGACTACAGTCAAGAAACAAATTAAAATTAGCATAGTTGAAGGTCTTACATAAGACACAACTTATATCCCTGTTCCTACTGTAATTACCCTAGAATCCACAAGATACTGAAAAACACAAATGACTGAGAATCCAGCTCACTGACAACTATCACTGCATTACCTTTAATCTAGATGGAATTATGACCAAGGTATCTCCCCAGAGTACATATTTGTTACAAACACAACCTGCCACTGGATGTCATTACCACTGCATAAATGCAGGTAGAAGAACATAACCTGTACCTGACTATATCCTCCAAAGCGACAGAGGAGAACACTTCAGTAACTACACCTACACTATGGGAAATCAAGTCTTCTGTATGCAATACATTAATTCTTCAGTAATTTTCTCCTCCTGCCTTTCCTTCTCCCTTCCTTCCTGGCTGGCAGATCAACTGTGTCTCAAAACCTGTATAGCTTCAACGTCTAACGAAATAGCTCAGCTGAGAAAAAGATGTGAAGAAGTCTCTCAATTAGAGCCATGCAATCTAAGAAAGGTAAAGTTGCAAATAAAGACAGGTTTGATCGCTCAAAGATTCAGAAGGAAGAACACGGAAAGATGCAAAACTGTAAAAGAAAATAATACTAAGTCTGAAGAGGATAACCCAGCACCATCAAGGGTCTGTTACAAGTAGTAGCAGTCTCCTTCCTCCGATGCCTGCCTGGCCAAAGAGACTCTTCAGGTGTCTGGTTGGAAGCTAGAAGTGTACTAGCAGTTTTAAAATCCTACCTATCCTTTATGAGTGCTAACTCATAAGCAGTTGTTTGCAGTCGCACTCTCTGAAACACTAGTGAATAAAACAACCCTCGGATGGATGGTTAACAACACACATACCACATTAACTGCATTTTGTAACTCATGATGATCTGCCAACTTTCCTTAGGTGTATTAGGCAAGAAACCCTAATTTTAATATCATAGTACTCCATAAAGCATCAAATTACAACCATTTAAAATGCTAAATGTGCAAACAATATAGAGTAGCAGCGTATCCATCTCTTCCTGAAAACTGTTACAAACCAGAGTGATGCTCCCACATAAGGAAACAAGTTTTCACTTCCACAGATATTTGTGCTCAGGCAAAAAAGAGTCACAGTATTAAAAAAAAAAAAAAAACCCACACACAAAAAAAAAAAAAACCAAAAAAACAAACAAACCCCACAACCAAACACCACCAAACCAAACACAGAACTTAGGGCATCAGTTATTTCTGCTGAGTTTTACTTCTATTGTTATTCCTAAAGATTCACAGAAATATATCCAGATACCTATTGTCCCTTAGAAGTGGATTAAGAAAATGTACAATCTAACAGAGCCTTAAGAAAGAACAGGAATACAGAGCCTGGAAAAATCAAAACAATACTCTTACATCTCAATAAGCCTAGAAAGGCAGCATCATTTACACATTTTAATTATGCAGTGCTTAAAAAACAAAAACAAAACCAAAACCATATCTTTTCCAGATAACATCTTGTTCTCAAATCTTTTTAAAGAAAAAGAATTTTGTCTGATTTGTATTTTACACACATTTGATACATGAAGAAATGAATTAAAATCAAAACATAATCAACTACTCTAGTTTTGATCCCACCTGGTCTCCAGGGTCTACAGCATCATTTCTAATGAACTCGGCAGCTGAATTATCTTCAAATGCAATTTTAGGAAGTAAAAATTGTTACACTTTGTGCTAAATTAATTATAAGCAGATTCCTAACTTAAGATGCTAGCATATTTGTATGTATTTAAAGTGAGCTATCTTAAACAGGATCACAATAGAGACAAAACACAATCTACCAGAAAATTAACTATATAGTGCCAGCTAGATTACAGGTCCAGAGCTTATATCTTACAGCAGTTCTTTCATGAATTCAGGCATAAGAGATCCACATTTTTAACAGAAAAAAGAGAAAGAATATAAAAGTTTGTTTTACAAAAGTAATATCGAAATAAACTGCAATCCTCACTCTGTGGATATGTTTTTTGGGTTGGCAGCTGAAGCAGGGGAGAGGGGGATAGATACAACCAGGAGATGGAGAGGAAGGAAAGGAAGATTCATTAAATTTACATACTTGAGGAAAAAACTGCCCAGTTCCAGATTTTAGAAAAACTGGGAAGACATGCCAAAATTATGAAAAGTGGAAGTTTATTTTTATACATTTTTTGTTGCCTTTTTTAAGCAGAGTTTATAATATTCTACTTGAAAAAAAGAAGTTAAGCAGAAAATATTCTTTTACTCATACAGGTATTTTACCTCCAAACTCTCATTTTACTGAAACTGAGATTTCATTCTCGTGTAACAAAACCTTGAAGGGCATAATTTGCAAGCTGCTGTTTATATTTTACAAGTGTTAGTACAACACCTGTATAAGAATGGATTAAAATACATATATAAGTAATTCCACTGCTCCTTACATGTTGTCTCAAAGTCCAGAACACAAAACATGACTTTATCTTAAGTTGCACCATAGTGCAAGACCTAACATCCAGGTAGTCCCTTGAACAGGGGACTGTTCCTTCCAAAACACTCAATACCAGCACCACTTTCTTTCCCATAAGGAAGAACCTACGTCTGCTCGGAACAGAGAAAGGTCCATAACTGCATTCAATTTATTTTTCTCAGTAAAGAAGTTGGTACAACACACTTGTTGATTATAGATAAGCATAAAATTAAATAAAGTGTGAAATACTACTGTATTGAAATTAAAGTTTTAAGATTATCTGAAATAGAATTTATTTTAATATAAATTTACACAGGAATAAGCAGCAAAAACTAGAAAATTCTGATTAGACATATTAAAATGCATTTGTTTTAATTAAAGTCACAAATCAACATGACCCCCTGAATTCACCAGTGAAATTGTCCCAAATAAAAAGTAAACAAAGAACGGTTCATCCTATTAAGTAACAAGGAGCATAAGTCACTTATTACACTGTTCACTTGGTTTAATTGAAATTTTGAGTTACTGTGCAAGTTTCCATTAAACAGTTGACCTATGCTATGCAACATTACTTCTGCAATAGGGACCTTTGTAAACAGTTACAACCCCCATAAGCTAAGAAATGGTCAGCCTCAAGAGTCAGCAACTAACGTAATTCTCAAAAATTTAAATACATCTGCAACATAAGCATATCCAGTTAATGGCAATTCTGCGCAAGTGAGGGAGAGGAATAGGGGGAGAAATAGTAAATTGAACTTGCAGCACACAAAAACGTAATAACTGATGTATTAAAAAGAAACCAGAATCACCAGTCGCTGAGTGATGAGCCACCAAAGGCACTACCCAAGCAGAACCTTGAAAGGGTTAAACCAGAACTTTAATTGATAAGAAGGGCAAACAAGATTATTATGCATCTGGGGTCAGGGAACACAAATTTATTATGGAATAAGAAATGAGGAACACTACAAAATTTAAGATACTTTTTAAGGAGATTGTGGGGCTGTGTAAAACTTAACATGGGATGTACAGGGGAAAAATCAAAGATGCTTTGAAAAGGGAGGAATCACGGTGGTTCAGGCACGAACAAACATGGGAAAAATGAGAGAAGCAGACTGAAATAAGGTGGCTGCCTGTGTCTGTCTATTTAAACCACTGAAATATTCAGCATACGAGCATAAATCCCCCTGCCCCCAATACCTCAGAGAATACAGTGTGAACAATATTAAACGCTAATCATTATCTAGAATTAACAGGTGGTTTGACACACACTGTATTTATACTTGTTAATTAAGAGTTCCCAAACTGGGACCACAGAACCGCTTACTGAAAATGACCCTGCTCCACATTAACTGTTGATCAACCCCTGGAAGCCCTTTGGGAGGGAGTCAGTTGTCCTGGGGCAAAACTTTTACTACATTTCACCAATCTGAGTTTGACAGTATATTTCCAGAGCTTACAAGTTTTCTTCAGCTTTTCTTATTCTCTTATTTATTTAGATATAAATGTGTATTATATAACATGCGTTTAATAAAAAAAAATAACAAAAATACATAACTATTTTATAATACATTGAAATTCTATGGTAGATAATATATTCTTAAATAATAAATATTTAAATAGATATCTATACATTAAAAATACATAAATCTACTTTAAGATAAAAAATATAAATGTTATATAATACATGCAATGCACATGGTAGATAATATGTACATATGTAGCCAGATGACAGAACAACAACAAAACCTAAATACTGTTACTTAGTATTGAGTATTTAGCAAAGTAAATGAATTCAACTCAGCATATAATAACTGTTGAACAACCCAGATGACTTTTCCAGTTTGGCTAATAGTGTAGTTTTAATAGAAGTGATAGGAAATAATTACCACTTGTACACCTGAAGTGACATTTTATACTTACTTTGCATAGTCAAAGAGCCTGCTGTCCCAGAGCTGATGATTTCCTTTCGGACCGGAATGGAAGAAACAAGAATCTGTACCATCAAATTGGTTGAGACCATCTTCAGAGTTTTTTGACGCATGGCTGTGCACAACATCCAGTAGAACAGTGATCCCCATTGAGTGAGCAACATCAATCATCTCTTTCAGGTCATCTGGAGTTCCATAACGGCTATCAGCATGAAAATGCAATGTGTTATGAGTGATACAATCTGAATTTAAGCTGACAATACTAAACATTACTCAAAAACTATGTGAAAGTCATCAGTTCTCCATCACCTAGTTCCCAGTTATACACAAGATAGTTTTTCAGCCTCTTAAGTAGAAGCACAGGATCATTTAGGTTGGAACAGACCTCTGATACTATCGAGTCCAACCATAAATGTAGCACTGCTAAGTCCACCACTAAACCGTGTCCTGAAGTGCCACATCCACACACCTCTTAAATACCTCCAGGGATGGTGACTCAACCACTCCCCCTGGGCAGTTCAGTCCAATCCTGACAACCCTTTCAGTGAAGACGTTTTTGTTGCTAATATCCAATTTAAACCACCCCGGCACAGCTTGAGGACGTTTCCTCTTGTTGCTAGTAGTAGCTATTGGTTACAAATTGACAATTAAAAATTATTTTTAATTAAAAAATACATCACGCATGCATGCTTTGTTGTGCAGAAATAGTTTCAAAGTTTTATTCTTCCCTGTTAATAGATCAAATTCCATTTGAAAGATAAATCATTCAACATAAAGCTTCTACTTAATATCAAACACTAGTTCGTAAGAGACAAGAAAACACTTGGATTACTGAAATAATCTATAATAACTATAAAAGTCAATGAAAGTGAATGAAAGTCCCCAAAATACACTATCTGCTGCTGCCTTGCTTAGTTATTTGGTTTAGGTACCACATTATTTCCCTACTTGTTCTAAAATAAAGATTTGTCTCCTGTATACAACATAACTTTCTTCTCACTGAATAAGCCAGTTAAAACTTACTATCTACCTAAATTTAGCCTGTTATCAGTTGAGATTAAAAAAAAAAAGGAGGGGGGTGACACACGACACGACACACGACGACACGCAAATCAGATCATTCAGTTTTATCATATTTTTCTTAACAATTACCTGAATGCATTTTCCATCTATTTGCACCTTAGGCCTCAAATCTATGTACAGTCTGTTATAAGTGTAGGAAGACATTCCCACAGGCACAGAGAGCCATGACTTTAATCAAGTTCATTGTGAATAAGTAATGTACGGTTTTATTTATCATAAAAGAATGACTTACATATTGTGTTTCTTACTGCCAAGAATTCCACAGCACAAAAGCCATGCATGAAGACCGCTGAGGTTGGAATAGCTGGAATATGCTATGACAGCTAAAGTTACTTACAATCTTTTTGTTTGTATCCTAGAGGAAGTGTTCCACAGAGCCACTGATCACTATGCCGAACTAATTTCAGATTTAAGAGGAAGCTAGAGCAAATACCGAAACCATTACTTTCCTCTTCTATTAAACACTTACTTGTACACACACACACAGAGACTTACTGATTTCAGTGGAAGGGGAGTAGGGTGAAAACAGAGAAGATGCTGAAGTACTTAAGCCTACCTTGATGCTGCAAAGAAGCTTGTCACCTGATAACCAAAACTGGCATAGTATGCATGTTCCATGATAGCCATCAGCTGGACACAGTTATATCCTATAAAGATGAAAGAAATAAAACAAGCAAACCCCTGTATGAAAATCCAAACCCTCTAACATATCCAGTCCAGTCTTCTCTCGTTTTAGCTGAGCCTGATGATTAACAACTAACAATTCAGTCTCTCTCAAGAGGTAACTGTACCCAGTAGTTTATACTTACATGATCTTCCATTAAAAATGGAAACGTCAATTTGTCAAGTGATCTATATATAAGTAGGAGCATTAAATCTCTCAAATTTTGAATGCAGTAAGTGATATAAAAATATAATCTTAACTTAACTTTGGAATATTAAACTATGTCCATCTGCATGTCCTGAACTTCTGCCTCACTCCTGACACACTCAGTCAGGGGGTGTGAAGATAGTCCCTGGCTACACCAACTATACCTTATGCCCTATGGAATCTTTTTTTACCACTTCAAAACCCACTTTTTTCCAGCTTCAATGATTATACTCCTCTTCTACACGAGTCTTTCAGAAAAGAGAAAACACGCAAGTAATGTGCTTTTGTTCTGAGTTTACCAAAGAACCAAGGCAGTGCCAGGAGGGTTGGGGAGACGCTGTCTCATGTGCCACCTAAGATAGTTCAGTGTAATTTTAAGGGATGGAAATCTAAAGGGAAAACATACTAATGGTACAGCCACAGTACTTTCCACACATCTTGACTAAGGCTATCATTATTTGAGTGATTAAATGGCCCAGACAGGTAGCAAGTGAGGACTTCAAACAAAAGATAACCTCCAGGTTTAATCTACAGCCTGCTTGGACTCCCACCACCTCCACTTGTCTTAATTACTTTAACCAAAATCTTCATTCTTTGGTTTAGACAAGATATTTTCTTTTTCATTGTTCTTGGTTTTGTTTTTGAATTTTGCAGGCATAAAAAATATTATTAGAAGATAGTTGGAGTGAGCACAACAATTTGTCAGATTCACTGCTGTTTTATAATTCAGGCTCATTGAACTTATTCTTATTTACAGCATTTTTATAAATAAACAGCAACATAGCATCAAATTAATCTCATTTGATTGGCTTGCTATTTATTTTGCTATTTGTCATGCACATATTTCTACAAACTATTAATAACTTCGCATTCTTAAACAGTGCTGTCTTTAAGCTTGTCCTAAACAAGTAAGACATTCCAAAGCTGAATCTTAATAGCCCTTAAAAGTAAATTTTATAAGAAGAGAGACCTAATTTCCACAGTGCTTACTTAAATAAAAATGATCTATCATTTCTGTATACCCTACCTAAATTTGATACTGCTTTTATTTTGTATTGTAGCAGCCATTTCATGACATTTCTACCCCAAAAAGAAGAAACTGTAAGTAAAGTAGAAAGAATCATAGAATTGTGGAATGGTTTGGATTGGAAGGGACCTTAAAGATCACCTAGTTCCAAGCCCCCTGCCATGGGCAGGGGTACCTTGCACTAGACCAGGTTGCTCAAAGCCTCCTCCAGCCCGGCCTTGA